AATCATTAGGCATTTGGTTCCACTAAGGCAGGTCTCCAATGTGTTGCTTCAGTATTACTCATCAATCTTCTTCTTCTGTTATTAGATAATTGGGTGATTTGATTAGGTCATTCATTTGAGTTTCCTGTTGATCTTGATTGAGGATTTGAATTAAGATCAGTCGTTTGAGGAATAGATGATCTTGGTATCACGTCTTGATTTTCAGTTGATGGATTAGGTTCAGGTATCTCAAAACATTGGAATAAGCCAACATGTTCAATCCTATTATCAAGTCTATCTGTTCTAATTGGAGGATTTGAATCGATAATAAATCATGATGATTGATCATTAGCTTGACGTTCAGGAAGATTATCATAAGGATTTGGTAATCCTAAAGCTTCAGCTATAGTCATAGTATTATGATGAGCAGCTGCTTCTAACAATAATGGATGCGGATCTGATCCTAAATCAATATTATCAATAAAATTAGAATCTCTACCTCTTCTCACTCTAGATTGTTGACCGTTTAGTAATGAAGTGATAAACAATGCAGTGTTTTGATCTGAATCAGAATTGTTTAATAAATCAGATGGTTCTGTAGTTTGTTGATGAATCTGAAATTGATGAAGGTCTACTTGGTTCATTAAGATTAACTGACATCAGATTGTTTTGTGGATCTTGAAAATGAGTATTGAAAGGATCAAGTCCTTGTGAATTTGATGATGGTCTTTGATTGATATCCACTCAATTGGTAGGTGGTGTAGGTGGTAAATGAATAGGAGGTGAAATTGGTTGATTGTTTGTTACTTGACTTCCTTCTTCGGATTGACTTTGAGAAGTTGTAGGTTGAAGGAATTGTAAAAATTGAGTGGGAATTGGTGTTTGAGATTGACAATGTTGTCTAGCTTCTTGTAAGGATTGATTGTATTCTTCTCTTAATCTTGCATTTCTCTCATAGATTGAGATTGACCGTTCAGGTTGATTTGTTTGTGATCCCGGTTCAGGAGAAAGTCAATCTTGTGATCTTAATTCAGATGGAGGTCTAACTTCTCTTCTTCTTCTATTGAAATCTTTGATTGCTCTAGCATGAGGTCCAAACATCAAGACTGAGTTTCTGGTAGATTGAATTGGATTGGGAGGTGAAGGTATTTGGTTATTTGGAGTCCGTTGTTCTTGTTGTTGTCTTGATCGATCTCTCTGTCTGTTGAGTTGTTGAGTTAGTTCTGGTTGTCTTTGTATCAGATTCTCAATAAATAGTATTTGACTACTTCACTCCATGACTGTTGACTTTGACAAAGACGGTAAAGTGAAATGTTTTAAACACCCTTTCAGCTCAACTTGGCTCACCCCAATTGAACCAGACAGAACACTTAAACTAAACTACTTAAGTCTACAAAACTACTTAAATCTAACCCAAATCAAATAATCATCTTCATCCAACACTTCCTTTCACTTATTCCTCCAAACAACATATCCATAGCTGAGTTCATGATTCTGGGTCTAAGCAAACAAAAGCAAGTATCCTCAAAATGGTGTGGTTTGAACACTCAGTCAGTACATAAAAGACTCAGTACACTTACAGGTATGTAGCTGGTTTGTATCATTGCCTCCCATAAAATCTCAAATATCATCTGATCAAGCTCTTGAGGATCAGTTGAAAAGACACAAAACAATTGATATCAAGTCAAGATATGTAGTTCTTTATGAATCCAACTTGAAAAATTCTAGCCAATTTCTGTAATACAAAATCATTCAAGTTGCAATGGAATTACAAATAGCAGAAAACATAAAAGATAGTTGAATTTATGATGATCAAATGATATAATTTAGACTCCAAAAGTTATTGTCTTCAACACTTTTTTCTGTATATCTAAGTATATCTCCTTATTAGACAAGTATGCCTTACACTTATTGTTTTGACTTTCACTATTTGAATCAAGGTAAGATATGGCTGTGTTTGACTCACCAACCGGTAGTAATCATTTGGCTGTGCACTTGAATCCCACAATCTTTTTCTTCTTTTTAACCATCCAGAACAACTTGAAATATTCAGGTTTTGTATATATGAGAATTCTATGGATAAACTATCATCATTTCTTTTTTCTTTCTTTCTCTGTCACTAAGAAAATGGTTCACTTCAACTAAGAGAATAGTTCACCTTGAATTTTCAAATTAAATCTTTGGTTTGTCTTTTGACATTGAACATTTATCATTTCTTGCTTCATAAATAAGAGTAAATTGATTTTCCTTTAATTATATACTGTTTTCTCTGGATTTATCTGACTTGTCATGAAGAGGGGTTTTTCTCCAAGACTGGTTTTGAAGATTTTTGGAATTGATCTTTATGTAAATTAAGTTTATTTTAAATAAACCATCTTATAATTCTTTGGACTAATAAAGTTGTAAGCTGTAAATCAATCAATTCTGGTCGTTTTGATTTCCTTTTCTTCCAGAAAACAAAAGAGCTGATTTTGACTTTTTTTAATGGTGACCAATTGGTTTCTGGTGAGTATTTGTTTTAGAATCTTCAAAGAAAAATAGTTTATCATTATCATGATCTCATTTATCAGACCTTCTTTATATTTTTCTTTACAATGTTTTTATCTTTATTGCTTCTTTATTTGTTCTCACGAAAATTGTAAAGGTTTCATTGTTAATCAAAAATTCAACAGGTTATTTCTTCAATTTCTTTGTAAATATCTTCTTATCAAGCTTGTATTTTCTCTTTCAAAACATCAGTTTCCTCAGGAGTGTCTATAAATACCATGTGTCTATCTTTTTGATTCTTGATTGTTGTTTTTTGTCAAATGTCTATTTCATGCAATTTGTTATGTGCAATGCTAGATGAATAATATGTTTTGGTTGAGGTAACCTTAAGCCGCCCTTTTAAACAGAAAGAACACCTCAACACTCAGATGCTCTGAGAATGCAAGGACCCAGCATTTTGTAAACATTGGGATAATCTATTGCATAAATATTGGGCAACTCCAATGATGAAACTACATATTGGGGTCCTATGTGATTTGTATAATATATTTGATTGATGCAAACAAATACCCACACTAATGTGAGAGGCTCTCATGAATCCATAGCTGTGGGAGAGGATGCAAAGAATTTATATTTCATTAAAAAATTACATTTCACTTGAGCATCCGATTCCTTCCTTGTGTGAAAACTTCAAATTCATAAAAGCATTCAATTGTAATATAATAATAAATTTGATTTTCATACATACATAGAATCAATTCATGTCTCTATAAGGGGTCTGACTCTGTTGATCCAATCTCACGGAAAGTCAGAAGTACAAAACCTGGTAGCAGACATTAGTTTGATTGCCTTTTGGGGTATGATGCAATTGGGGGAAGTGTTCAGGGAGAAGAAGTCCGATGGGGTATTACTGAGACACCATGTCGAATTCGGAGAATCAAAGAAAGGCCGATGGGCGAAGTTGAGACTGAGGAAGGGGAAAACCGCAGCGCCAAACGAGATACAAGTCATCCACCTACAGTCACAACCATCAGTATTAGACCCTGTAAAAGCTCTAGAAAGAATCTTACGTGCAAATCCAGCGAAAGAACGAGACACACCTATCTTCCAAACTTCGAGCGGGATGCTGACGAAGAAGGTCTTCATCAATAACGTAGAGAAGGTTTGGGGGAAGTCCTCATTGGACAAGTGGTCAGGCCTCTCTAAGATCGAACCTGGGAACTTTGGAAGAAACAATTAAAAAAGCTGGGAGGTGGAAGTCCTGTTCTTTCCAGAGATACACCAAGGAGTTCTCGGAAAAAGAGATACAAGAAACAAAGGTCTTCTTAGATGCAATAAGATTATGAGTGGGGGAACACGGTTGTACGTAACTTGCTGGTGGAAAGGATACAGTAATTGGAGACACCGGCTCTTTAAGCGGAGATAAAACAAGGTTTGGGCTCGACCGAAGAGCCCAGAAGAACAATGTACAGAGAATTTGTGAGAAACCAAGTCTCCAAAAGATTGACGTGAGCCACAGGTTGACCACCCTTGCAGTAGGAGGGGTTGACCACCAGGCCAAGAACGGCATGGCTGGCCATACCTTCCTCGGAAGTAGGGACAGTGACCAACCCCTCCCACGGGAAGACTTAACGAAAGCCAAAGAAACGGAGGCCGTCTCAACAAACCTTGGTCAGGCAAACCAAGGTGTTGGTTCTGGTAAGCCAAAGATTTGGTTCGCGTAAACCAAATAGGAGGCACGCTCTGCGCGCTTTCCCAAAACAGCTCCTGCCTCACCTTGTGGCAAGGTAGGAGCAAGGATGGTGAGATATTACTCACACATCACCAACCTATGTGATGATAATCACTCTCCATGTAATATATACATAGAATCTATCAGTGAGCCGAGAGTGGACAAAAGGATCCGTCACCGTTTGTTACCGCTCCTAAGGGGCTTGATCTGAAGAATTGAAACTTTGATTGAAGTTCTTTGGTTGTGAAAGGGCCAAACATTCTCCCTGCTTTCACCTCTCCTGCTATGTTTGAATCAATCTTTTCTTGTACTTCAAGTGCTGACAAATGATTAGGTGGACAGAAGAATTTTAGACCTTCTATTCGGTGATCTGGGATTCCTTGATCAAAACCGTACTTAAAACCATCTATGACAAATTGATATTTGGGTAGCAGTCCTTTCTTGAGAAGTTCTTGCTCCCATAGGTTGATATTCATTTTACAGTACGGGCCTTGTGGCCATCTTTCTGAAGTTATGATAGAGGATGCGTTATTTTTTTTTGGCTTGGTTGTTGGCTCTGCACTACCGTTTTTAACTGTGCTGCTTTTTTGGTTGATGTTTTCTCTTTTGTACTTCTTGTCCTCTTACTCGACTCTTGTAGCTCTCTGTTATAGCAGCGGAAAATGAACCATAAAACAATTGTAAATCTCTATTTCAATTACATGATACAATTCTGTCTACAAGTTAACTACTATAGACTTATACAATCAATTTGGGGATTAGATCAGGGAACTACATCAGACTGATTGTTAAAGAATTGTACATTCTTCGAATTATACAACTGAAGATTGCTATAACGATGACCAAGAAAAACAGATCATGCTCTTATGAAAGAAGGGAAGATGATGATGCTGACTATGTGATTTCGAGATATAACGGAAAGATGAAGACTGTGTAGACAACGAGAAAAAAACTGTAGTGTTAAAAAAAATTGGAGTACTTTAACACTTACGGTTGGTTTGCTCTACCTCTATGGATTGAGCCACCTCCTCTACCTCTGCGGATTCCATTTCTACCCCTTTGATCTCTCTTGTCATTTGGTCGGATTTGTTGTGCTGGAGGTAGCATTTCTATTATTTCTGGTAGTCTAGGTACTCTGACTACACGTGGTGCTCTTTGCTGAGACGGATGGTGTGATGAGTTTTGACGTGATGAGCTCTGAGATGTGACGCTTCTTCTCTTACTGTTTCAATGGTTGTCCACATCGTTCCAGCTGCCTGTTATAGGATCACAGTGTTCATATCTTCCGCCTGCTGCGTACGGATTGGTGTTTCCAAAGGACCACTCGCCAGTCTGTCCTGCTCTTTCTTGCGCGAGCTTCTCGTACTTCTCTACATACAGTCCGGCGTCCGGG